GACCGATACAAATGGTTTCAAATATGTATGCGTGTACTGTGGATTTGAAACATTCGCAAGTAAAAGTTAATTACGAAGAGACGAGGACGGGAGTATTGATACGACCGTATGTGTATATATATATATATCTTATCGTCTTGGTATCAAACCGAGGAGAGAAAGACATGAAATCAACGTGAATGTATTATATACAACGTCGTAACGTTACAATGCCTTTCGATAATAACAGTTAAAAAACCTATTTTTTTAATCGATACAATAGTTTAACAAACACAGCCTCGCGGTTCGTGAAAACTTAATCGATTATACAACGGAAGATCGTTTTGATCGAACGAGTTCCGAACGTGTTTTACCTTTTTTCCTTCTCGACTCGTCTTCTTTTTCTTAAATCCTTTTCTTCTTCGTTTTATCCTTTTCCTTTTCTTTTTTTTTTTTTTTTGATGCCTTTTCCACGATATACTTAAAATACGTTTAACATATCCTTCTACTAATACGATTTTTCAAAGAGTTTAAAATACTTTTTGCAATGCGAGCTGGCTACTTTGAAAACAAAACGACACGCTGCTCTTGTGCTGGCAATTATCTCTACTTTCAGCGACAGCCATATCTAAAATACTTTTACGCCCCTTGTAGTCAATACGTCGTTTCCATTTTGATTCTGTCTTTCGTTCTTCATATTTATCTTATTAACGATATATGCTCGTTACACTAAATGAAGAACTACTGCTTTCCCGTAGTATCACAAACTAATAAAAGTAAGGAAATTTGGCAGGCATTTTTTCATCAATCTCTCTTTAAAAATTCAACGTTGAAAATTTATCCGTTGTAGACAGAAGAAAGCGAAGAAACCATAAAAGTTACGTTAAAAATTCGAAGTTGATCAGTCTTAAACGTTGTGGATTAAAAACCCTGTAACACGCTTTTAACCCTCTCCTTTCAGCAACGATTTCAACTGGACAAGGGGCTTGTGCACTAATCTTCGCATTCCATACATAAAAAGACATCGAATAATCATCGACTTATCGAATAACCATCAATTATCACGACGAGGAAAACACAATGAAAGGAAAGAAAAATCAAAAGGGAATACCTGGAACAAACCATTGAAATTCTATCAGCTCGCATCGCGGCGAATAAGTGTCGAATAATGACTTTACGGGGTTACGATAACCCCATCGTAAAACCAGGTTACACCGAGACTTGACAAATGGAAAAAGATTGATTCATTGAAAAAAGCGCGATACACGTCTTACAATGCGCATCGACGAGGGACAACGATTATAATCCTATCGTATATTATGTATACTCGCCTAAAATCGAATTGATATCGGTATTAATGACCTCAGTAAATTCCGTCAATAATATCACAACACAATTAATTCCGCTTTTCGTTCACTTGATCTCGTACGCGCCCAGATTGCCCTTGCGCCTCCTGTACACAGTCGGCTGCTGCTCGTTCGTATGATTTCCTTGAACGATCGAGCGTTTCACGTTCGCCCGATATTCGTCTTCGTACGCGTGTAGATATAAATTTTTTAAAAAGATTTGATTATCCAGCTCAGACGGTGGCAGGAATCGTTTAGAGCGACTTTGTTGTTGAGCCTCGAGCTCTTTGAACGTAAACAGCCTGGTCTTCTCGTCGTCGTAGGCCCTGAACCTCTTTGTAGCCCATTGCTTCTCGCTCCTCCACGACGACGAGCCGGCAATGTTGTTGGTGCTCTTCTTGTTGGCTATCAGCAGCTCGTTCAGGGACAGCAGCCTCCTCTTCTGACGCGGAGGACCACTGTCCTCGGATGCGTTTCGTATTCGCTTGCTGCGGTGCTTTGGCACTCCTTCTTTGGCTGGGATCTCGTTGTCCAGCATCGAAGACTCGTTACTGGCCATCGTCGAAGATCGATTATCGCGCGCCTCGATCTCCCTCGGCGTCGCCAGCGTCGTAGTCGTGCCGCTTGTCGTCGACGTGCTCGACGTCGTCACCGTACTGCTGCTACTGTTCCTGCTGCCAATGGCGGCGGAATGGCGGCGGTCGTGCTCGTGAAAAACGAAGACGCCGTTGTCGACGGTTCCCCCTGCGTCGTGTCCTCCGTGTTGTTTAATTTAGCCTCTATGATATGTTTGAAGAACGCGTACATCTCACCTACTGTGAACGTTGTGCCGTTTCGCACGGTGAACTTGTCGATCTTCATATTTTTGATCAGCTCCTCGGTGGCGTTCCGGGCCTCCAACATAGACAGTTTTTCGGTTACGTAACTGTTCACGAATTCGTAGAATCCCTTGTAATAATTTTTACGATGCTTCTTCTTATCCTTTGATTTCTTCCCCTTTTCTCCGTGAGATTGGCCTTTCTTCTTTGAATCCTTTCGATTCTGCTTCTCGTTCCAACGCATTGACTTATTATAAAATCGCATGATCCGCTCGAACTCTCGTTTAAGTTTGATGAATTCTCTCTGGTTTCGAATTTCAAATTCCGAACGACCTCTGCCGGAATTATTCTTCCGAGATTCGGATAAATCTACGTGGAAGAAGTTTTTACTCATAGCGTTTAGAAGATCGTGCATACTGCCGTTGGTGGAATTGTTAGATTGTCTGGCGTCCATGCGTTGCAGCTTACGATAGACGATTTTGAGAAAGTCGATCATCTTCTCCTCGCGAAGACGCGATCTGTTTCCATGGCCTGGATGCTTCTTCCACGATAGAGCTTCAGTGCTGTTGTCGTGGTGGCTGAAGTTCGAGTTCTTCGCCTCGATCTTATGCTTCGAGTGCTCTTTGCTCTTGTTCATCTCGAGATGCAGCAGCTTCTTGCCGATCTTGCGGAAGAACTCGATGAATTTTCTGGAAAAAGATTTAGTTCGACTTCCTAAGGACAGATATCCCAGTAGAAATTAAACTTCAAATTCCCCTATTTTTTCTCTACTTTATCTGTATATAAAAATTGAAATATAAATAATGTAATTATAAATGCAAAATTCTTATACCCACAGTTGAAATACAAGCGACATTTAAATATTTCAAAATGAAATTTACTATATGTATCCCCTTTCCAATTATTCAAGATTAATCGTAATTCCTTATAGTTAAAAAATTTCTTACATCTCCGAAATACCATTAGGAAGCATTAAAAATTATACGAATATATAATCGTTTATTCAATGGAAGTATTTTAATCAAACTTTTTATCATTGACAAATTTTTGTTTTTACAATTATCTGTTAAAGAGATGCAAGTGTTCTTTGGTCATATTAATGTTTATTTTTGTTTACATATACTTATTCACTTCATGATGTTTTAATTCCAGTTAATGTATAATATATTTAGGTACGTATTAAATATCAATAGTTCTAGCGTGAATACCAATCATCAATGGCTACCATGTCGATCAACTTTCTTCTTAAATCAACATTCGATTCTGAATCCTACAATTCATTCATAAATATAATAGAAAAATCTTCAACTTACCTGTAATTCATAGTAAGATCTTCCTCATTCACAGATCTTCGACGTCTGCTCCATCTGAGCCTAGGGTGCTGTCCAGGAATGCACTTGGGCAGCTCCTTAGGGCTCCAGCTTCCTCCAACACAAGTTGCTCCAGTGGGTCCATCATCCAGGACGTATCCTTTGTCACAATCATACATAATCTGCTTGTTATTCACAACCTTCTTCACATATGGCCTATAATCATAGACTCCCATGTTGCCCATCAAGAAGACCTTTCCATTCTCGATGAAACCAGGGAAAGGACAAAACACTTGCATGCAGTGAGGAATGTCTCCGATCCAATTTCCATATTGACATTTCACCGATCTCGTGATGTTGTCTGGCCCATCTTTGACAAGTTCAAATCCATCTTTGCACTTGAATATCGCTTTCATTCCGTGATCGGTTTTGGGTGCTATCACCATCCCATTTTTGGGCGATTTAGGCAATTGTTTACACCTGGCTGGCGAGCAACTGGGCACGATGGACCACGTGCCATTATTACAAACTACGGGCGTGTTGTTCGCCGCGAATTCATAATTTTCTTCACAAAAAACTAGCAATCTCTCGCCATGCTCGACCACAGTCACGTTGTTGATGTGATCCCTATCGTGGCTGGCCACCGTGATGTTACCGTTTTCTATTTGAGGCACGACGCAAGGTGCAAGACACTGCGGCAATGGATAACGCCACTTTCCGTCGATCTGACAAACCGACGAGGTATTTCCCTCGAGCTTCATGTGGTCGTTGCAGCGGAAAATTATGCTGGCACCCAGACCGGTACCTGTTGAAGTCAGCGTATAAAGAGGTCAGTCCAGATTTACGTGGGTTTCGTTATTTTTGAGAATATGAAACAAGAGTTTTAACAGTTTGCCGTTCGGAATTTTGACTGGTTTTGAACAAAGGAGAATTTAGGATATTGTGGAAGTAAATAAAAGAAGCAACATGGGAAATTTAGCTTGAATGATGCTTAATCCATTGTTGTAAATGTTTTAATGTATTTGTTGCGGTGTATAGTTTTGCGTAAATAAAGCTTTTACCGGTAACAAAGAATATCGATGGAGCGAGAGATTCATTTTGAATGATGTTTAATCTAATGAGATATTAATATGTCTGTGTGTGAATGTAACATTGTCCTGATGCTTTCCTGATGATTTCATATAAAAGAAATTTTCAAAAAATTATGAAGATGTAAGAATATCGATGGAATAGAAAATTCATATTGAATGATCCTTCATTTAAAATAGAATTAAGTATTAATATTTAAATATGATGTAGGGATTAAAATGTAAAAGTTTGTCATTCTTCTTACGAAAAAGATAATTCCATATTAATCGAAAGAACAGTGAGACAAATATTCAATTATTTGAATAAGTATGTCTCAAGTAATACTTATCAACTCTATATCGAATAAAACGCCTACACTTTCCAAACCAATATCTATACAAAATCCTTTCCACGATATTCTCAGCGTATCATACTGTTTCGACCGCAAAATAGTTACAACATTCTCATAAACTTCTACTATTGTTTATTCTCGTAACGACGCGATTATTAATAAACACGGCGAAGAATTTTCTCCGCTCTTCCATCGTGCGACTCACCCGCCTCGATATTCTCAATCCAACCGTTGTACAGAACACCAGGTGAACCGCAATTAATCTCCTGGCAGGTAGGTGTCTTTCCGGTCCATTTTCTATCTGCCCCGCAACGCCTGGTCGTCGCGCCGACCACTGTGTATCCATACTTGCATTCGTACGACACGATGGAATTGTATGCATACGAAGTGTACACCGCGTTCCCGCTCACTGGATTCTCCGGTTTCGGACATTGCACCGTTGTAACCTGAACAGAAAACATTTCCTGCTTCGAAACGTACCTACACATACACTACTGGTCATTATTGAACAAATTCGCGATCACTTTCTCAATTTTATTTAAATATATCGTATCTCTTTAATTTTGTTATTCATACAAAATTGATATTCTTTTTTTTTTAATTTAAATATGATTAATTAACGCGTTGACTATCACACAAATTTTATATTCTTTACCCTGGAAGCTGTGATGTATTGAAATATACTACACCATAACATTTAACTTTTACAAAATATTATATCGTATTTGCGCACACTTTTTTGATAATATCCTGTAAATCATTCACGTTGTTGAAAATTTTCTAGTTCATGAAAATTATCTTATTTCGATCATTGTAAAAATTTTAATAAAACGTGGGTTACCGATTACCACCGTGGCAGTCAACGTGTTAAGAATGATTAATTATTAACTAGTCGTAATTCTTCTCTAGTCTTGTAAGACTTCTGATTTCTATTTCCATAAATTTCGCTGTGAAAATGCTTTTTCAGCTGATACAAATTTGACTCATTAGAAGCCAACGTTAACGCGACATTACATTAACAATTTCTTTTCAATCAGTTTACATAAGCAAATTCTGATCCTTAACATTGTGTGTATGGAAGGAAATTTCAAAGATTCGCTTAATATTTTTTTCGCCGCTATATTTTCCAAGTATGCAGATCCTACAATTATATGAAATTTGATAAATTATGACAAACTATCGTTTGGCCTTTAATGCGTTCAGTTGACATTTTCTTAGATTCGTTGATCCCATAGAACATATAATTATTTTAAATTTTTGTAGCATCCAGTTAAAAAGGATGAAGAATAAAAATAAAAGGTATAAAAAGGATTCAAATAAAAAGGGAACGGAACATGAAGAAACAAGTTTCATATGTCGCGAAAAACTCTTACTTGCACACATTGTGGTGATTCTTTAGGAGTCCATGTGCCATCTGCCAAGCATAACTTCTCCGCTTTGCCAACTAATTCGTAGCCATCCATACAATGGTACGACACACTACAATCGTACGTATAACATTCGCCTTGAACAGAAAACAAACGTTGCGATTTCGCCTAAGAATCCTTATAATTGAAATAATATAAGATAAAAATGGTTCACATCAAGTGTCTGCTTATATAGGTTTCTACAAGTTAAAAATATATTCAAAAAAGATAAATTTTTAATAGAGATCAAAGATTTAATCGGTATCTAATATGTAATAATTATTTCTTTAGACAAATTCATTTCAGTTTCTGTTCAGTTTTCATACGACGGTGCTTCTGCACCATCGGTGGTAATGAGCATTTCAAAAATGTAATTCTATGACAACGTATATAGAATTATGAAGTAGAATATTACTACCGTTGAGTATGATAAAATTATTTTGTATTCCAAATTTCCAGTAATTTGGACGAATTTTTAAATCCTTGCTATGTATTAAATATTCGCTATTCTCTTCTTTCTTGTTCCATACAATAAGCGACAACTTCGAAGTACATAATCGGAATAATTCGATCACCATTGTATTATCACAAATAAATTCTATTCCATGTGTAAAGAATCCTCGCGCGTTTCTAAATAAAGAGAAAATTGTCAAACAAACGTTACTGTCTGTTAAACAATTTGCGAATGAAGTAGTTAAATACCGACAATTATGATATGAAACCTGTAGTAAATGAATCTAAAAGAAAAATACATAAAATAGCACATAATATCAAATATAAGAAATCTTTATCCTTTTTTCTCCAAAAAAAATTATTCAAATCTTCAAAAATGCACCGCTGTATTTCTATAGTCTCCACGAAATATTACGAATGAATCGTTTTTACTACTCTCATAATATCAAATAGTGAATATCCTTCTAACGGTTCAATTTCTCAACAAAGATTCGGTTATTCTTATATTATATATCTTCTCCCACTAAACCGTAACAAACCACTCCTAAAGCCAAAATGATACATACCCGCGTACCCGCCGTTCGCTATATCCGCGGGAGGTCCACATTTCTGCGGCTCGCAGGTGATGTCAGGTCCAAACCAGCTAGCAATACCTTCCATCAACAGGCACCTCGCCTTTCTGATACCGGTAGTCGTGTAACCATGGTCGCAAAAGTACTGAACTTCGTTGTCCAAGTCGAAAGTGGTCTGTTCAGAGAGCGCGTTGTGTCGCGCGTTTTTCACCTTAGGCGGCTGAGAACAGAAGGAACTGACATCCTTCTTGCAGGAAGGCGTCGTGCCGGTCCATTTACCGTCGGCCCTACACGTTCTCTCGGTAACACCGACGGTGAAATAATCAGGATCACAAGTGTAATGGACTTGATCGCCGAAAAATCTTCCAGTCTCCGACTTCACACCGTGCTGAATATCGCTCAGCGCCGGGCATTCTCTCTCAGGCTTGATGCAAGACATCCCGCAAACACCGTCGCATCTGCACTTCTTCTTCTTGCTCTTGCAATCTTCATCGGTAGAACACTTTCGCAGACACTTCTGGCCGAGCAATTCCGCCTGTCCCTCGTTTCTTGGACACGCCGCCGACGGGGAATTCCTCGGGTTCTTATATATGCGTCCGTCATCGTCCACCTCCGGTTTCGTTTGATAACTCTGCTCGTCGGTGTCGTCGTCCTCGTCGTCCTCGTCGTCCCAATCATCGTCATCGTCGTCGTCGTCGTCGTCAGCCGCTTGTTGTATGAGTCTCGCTTCCGATACGAGGAAAAACATATACACAAGCAGAAGATGGAACAAAACGAAGCCGCCGGGTCTCATTTTATCAGGCGTTTGTCTGATACTGCTCGTTTCCCGGACAAAACGACTCACACGCGTTTCGACGCCGACCGAACAACTCGTTTTATTCGTTGAACTCGTGAGTAACGACGCGTTGAGAGAACGATTTACGAGACGGGAGACACAAATTGAAAAACTGTTTCACCAGAGATGATGATCACCAGACGCGGTGGCCCATTGAACGGTACTCCGTTCCGGAAGCTCCGCTTAAAGTAGCAGCAGTCTCATCCCGAGGCACCGCGCGCACGAGGACGACGTCGTTTCTCTCGCGACCGTGACTATTAATCGAGTCTGCCTCTTCGGCGTCCAGGAGGATTAGGACGGTATCTCTGTCTCTGTCTCGCTCGCCACCTCTCTGTTCCTCTAACTCTGTGGCAATTTTTTTCTTTATTGTGCGGACTGCGGCCCCGTGCTGCCGGGAATTCGCGGATACTCGCGCATCTCTGCACGCGCATTCAGCCTGTTCAATACATCTCCTCACTCGTGCAGCTTCCAGCAGATGGCGAGGGACAGGGGAAAAGCCCTCGGAGTTGCGCAGAAACGTGCCATCCTCCCCTTCTATCCCGACACATACACCCCCCCTTTTTCAACCGTTATACGTTCTTGTAAGGGGGTGGCTTCGATATAGTTTTATACACGGTTACAGTCGGCAACATGATTCATTCGCCTCGCGTCTAGAACCGTATCGAATATGTTCCTCTGATCAAGACAAATCTTCTTCCTTCCTCCATTTATATTTGTTAGATTTGTTTGCCATATGTCGGAGGCGGAGGAATTGCGACGTGTTAACTTCGTGTAACATGTATTTTCTCTGGTTCCAGTATCCGAAAGATGATTTTGCGGTAGGAGTAAGATATTTCTCGAGTTGGATTTCAATACTTGAATTATGAAAAGAAAGTTTCATGGCAGGCGTAGAGAATAGGTGTCTGTGACATAATGATGTAGGCTTTAGCATAGTTGCTTAGAGATGATGTAATGACACGACATGAATATAGCACGATAGCGATTAATTAAGATTACAAGAATGTTATCGGGAAATAGATATCCGACATGTGATGTAAAATTATGTATCACGATAGTTCATTCTTTAAATCATGAATTATAATATCGTTAAATCTTTCTTCTATATACTTGATCATTTTTCTAGTAACATATATTCTACTTGCAGATCCTTTTCGTATTCAACAAATCATATATATTTAGTTACCCACAATTTTCTCTTCTTTACGATAACTATAAAAAAGATAGACACGTCATTGCACTTCTTATAGTATTTGCATACTTATTAATTAAGTCCATGTATATAAATTTTGTATCATCTAGTAATAGGTAGCATTGTCATAGGACTACAAAAATTTGATACTATAAAAATGAAATGTATAGAACTCGATAGAGAACGCTTCATTGAAAAATAAGGATGCGCATCGATACTTTTTGTAATCACTTTTCCCGTAAACTTTTAAAATATCTTGTTTCAGAGGGTGACAACAACTTAACTTACCTTTAACCTAACTTGTCAGCGTAGTTTCTCAATCCCCAATATCATTATCTTCCCTCTAGAGATACCGTAGTTTCCGTAGTTCATACTTTCGAGAACCTAGTATTACAACAGCTTTATGTAAATTTCCTCTGAACGAGGATAAAAATGGAGAAGTTAAGGAAAACCTATTTCATATACCGGCGTACGCTTCGTAAGCAAACTTTCTTCCTTTCACGTGACACAGTCGCCAGGATAACGCGCCTCTCGATTCCTTCGAGCTAGTCCTTCCTGAATAGGAAGTTTCGTTTGCTGGAAAACGTTCCGCTATTATTCGAAACGCATAGAACCACCAGAATCTCCGCCGTTCCTCGATTACATACATTTTCGCGTTGCTCTCGAGAAAACGTTACTCTTTCGCAACACGAAGGTGCCGCGCGCGCCACGACACGCGAAAACGCCACGCTCCCGTTAACGCGTCGAGTCACGAAAGCTAACAGCACCTGCAGCCACTTTCTAGCCCGTTAACACGTTACTTCGCCGTCCAGACAAATTGTGGCAAACCGCCTGTAACCTCGATCCACCACGAGTTAAACGATCCCCAACACGTCTCGATCGGCCTCAACTGCTCAATCAAGTCGTTCGAGACTAAAACCAGGGATCGAAAACGAGATCTTCTCGCGTGACACCACAATCTTAGGATTTTATTCGACATGCTTTACTAAGCTTCGAAGGACGGTCGCTTTTACGGTTACTCGGTTCGATTTGCATGATAAAACGTAGCAATATGCGAAGGAATGATAAGATGGGCTTGATTGGTTATAGCGTAATTTCATTTTCTTGTGTAGGATCGTAAATCCTGTGAACTTTCATACATTTATATGTAGATGTTGATTTGAAGTTACAAAAATCGACAAGTATACACGGAATGCAAATATGTAACTTATAAAAAGATACAAAGAGAGCCAGTAATTATAGCAAAATCAAAAGTATAGAGTAAACATATTTCATATTACGCTTCATTTTCGATAAAATCGTACTTGGAAATTTAATATACGTGAATTTGGCAACTTACCAATTGCTAACTTATAATTGGTACTTACCAAATGAATAAACAAACAACAGAAGATTAATCTACGTGCGAAAATAAGTGAAAAACGTAGAATACAATTTTCCTATTCAAGTTCTCATTTCCACGAAAACAGAGTTTCAACAGATATGCTTTTTTCAGAAACTGAAAGTCTCATGAAAAAGATTTATTTCACATTCCTGACTTGCCAGTTGCTACCATAATTTCTGAGATATCCTGTATAAAATATCCAAAGTATAGTGTTTGTTACGATATTTAATAAGTAGAACAATCGTTTTCTTAGATTCTATTCTGTTAACTATATTCATACGTATAATTGCAATTTATATACAGTAATATCCAGAAGAAAATTTAAAGAATAAAACGGAAGAAACGTTATAATTTTGCAAAAGTGAATTATAAGTGACGATAAAAATGAATGTATAATATAATTAATATAAATTAATATAAATTAATATAATAAACGACAAGAAAGATGTTGATACAAATTGTGATTATATACACGAGTGTCAGTTTTAAACTTTCTTCTGTCCGCCATTGTAAAATATGAAAAGCCATGAACTTTGATTATAGACAGTTTCTTATCTCTAGATAGTACGATCGTCAGATCGAAAAACTGAGGAATAGTAAAAGATATCAAGGCGTGGGTAGTAGACAGGAGATCGGTTTTCAGCGGACAAAACTCGATCCTTTGCTAACCGTGGCAGACCATTCAAGGTAATCCTCCCGGTTCCAAAGTTAGAGCCGTCGTCGTTAGAATAAGCCCGTGTCCACCATTGTCTTCGTAACGATCGTAATCAATCGGTACGGTTCGATGCCTCGTATACACGCCGTAGGTGATCCCTGGCCCAATCTCAGCTATCAGCTTCATCGTTCTCGCCGTGTGTCTCCCGGATGTCTTCATTTGTCTTATTCAAATGAGACGCCTAAGGACAAGGCTTTCGTGTTTTCGAAGCTTTAAAGTTTTGCTTGAAGTCGTATTTTTATCGGCGAAACAATATTTGGTGCACTTTTCTCCCTTAGTTTTATGGTCGTTTTATATTGGGGTAAAATTTAATTGGAACGTATTGGTGCGAAAGGGTGTGAATTGGAAGGTTACATAATTTATACGCATTATCGAAGGTAATTTGGAAAGGTTGCTGAAATCTTTTGATGGGGGAAAAAATAAACATAGTAACATGATCAGGATTCCAATTGTCCCCAACATCATCAAATATTCTTGTCATTATCCAACAGAATTGGTTGTTTTCATCTCGTGCAAAATTACTTTTGTTAACAGTGTTCTTCAGAACTATGGAGAACAATTATAATGCATTTACACATTTACATAACTGTTGTAAATGGAAATTGTATGCAAAATAGTTTAATTCCGAAAAAATATTGTCGAACAGAAATTGGTTCATTCTTCTCCTCTTTTTTCTTCAAAATAGGGTATTACCCTTTTCGATGCATTCTGTATAATATTCCTGTAGTGACTGTGAAATGAAAAAGAAATAATAATTACGATTGCATTAACGAAGACGAAATTCATGAATATCTTTGTCCATAAGTATAACTTCTTCCATTCGATTGGGGTGAGTGCATTGAAATTCAGTATTCAACGAGTTCGTAGAACTAATTTCCAAGACTGATCGCGTTTGCAATATCGTGGGATACAAACGACGCAACTTTTCCTCTCAGTGACAAGGTGAATGGCGACTCGGAGGGTTATTCATTGTCGGGAGTGTATCTTCGTTTGGACGCGACTGTCAGGTGAGATTGACAGAGTGGCAGTAACTCGGTAGCTGAAAATGGGAGTGGCTGAAAGACGAGAGGACAGCTCGCTCAGCGACATCCCCGTGGCGCCTCTTCGCGGATCCTCCGACCAAGAAATAAGGACATAAGAAATCAGTGGCTCTCAACGTGTTTTCCTTTTATTTTACAATATTATTTTGACCAGAAATGTAACTATTATAAAAGAAATGCAAATAGATCTTTTCTTCCATGTCTTAAAAGCTTCAGTTTCGAAAAATAAAAACCATTAAAAAATAATTTATCACCCATCGCAGCTTGCTATGTACTATCTTATTTCCTTAAAGTATGAGATATTTGAGTCGGTATTGTAAATTTTTAGTATCTTTTATTTTTTTCAAGCGTAAAATTCGTATATCTTAATTTTTTGTCTTATTACAAAAAGCATTCTTTGATCATTTATAATGCAGTTGTACTATTTCGATAACTATTTTACAATTTTAGTTTTTTTCTAACGAACACACAGTTCCACCAGAAAATCATTACCAGCACTCTGGGAGAAATTATATGACGAGCTATCGAAGTTTTCTAATTGAGGAAATTTTCAGAGAAAATTTAATTACCTGGTTGCAACCTAGCCCAACTCTTTCTCAATTAGCTTCACTTCATTTCATTTATATTCGACACTCCTCCTTCTTTTATTAACAATCTACCTTCATCAACTAGTTTCAAACTGATTCAAACGAGTTGCTTAATATCAACAATTTCAAAAATTTACAAGCAATTCCAATAAAAGCTCCGGTTACAATGACCATTTTCGAAGCACATAATCAGAGCCCGTCACACGTCAAACAAACTGAACGGTTCTTAATTAGAAATCCACGGTCGAGAAGAATCTCCCTAATTATTAAGCTTGTGTAAGCATAGAGACGAGATCCTCTTTGTTCGCATAATGGCTCCATAAGAAATGATCGAACCGTGAATAGGCAAATCAGCATCCTTATTAAATAAACGAAACGCGCGTTCGTGGCATGAGATTCTCTGCGAAAACCAGTTTTGTTCTACTTGTTTCATCAAATGAAGAACGTCCTTTTTGTCTCGCAGTGGGCGGTGTAGCCGTCTCACGAGTTGAAAGAACGATGAGCTCACGGTGTCAGCTTACAACT